TTACAGTTTCTCAATTCACTGACATGCGATCGACCAGTTTGAGTTATGAGACTTAAGTCAAACAAGGGACTTAGTCAGCTGCCTCTAAGCACTATTGACGTTATCGTGAAAAAAAAATCATGTTTTTTTTACTGTGTTTGCTTACCATTTACATAGTTATTCTTAACAAACACTTTGTAGAAAAATTCCAAACGGAATACCCAAATTATGCCCAAAAACGTTTCCAACGTATTGTTTACAGCATCGCTATTTGGAATCGGTGAACAGCAAACGATTTTTACTTGTTTTAGTGATCGGTTGTGGCCACAACCGTCAAGAAGATCATGTTTAAATAAAATTGCTTTCTCTAAGCAACTGAGTTTGTAGCCTAAAGCTAAACTGCAACTGACTTACACCTCAAGATTTGTCATGCTTAAACATAATTCTTGATCGCCTACCTTAAAAATTGTGGGTTCCAAGCTCTACACGGCTAAAACGTACGTAAAAATCCATTGACACCAGGCCATGCAGTTAAGACGGTGTAAAGTGTTATTTAAGGACGTTATGTTTGCTTTCACTGAGCAAGAAAGGCAATAACATAATTGAGGACCGTGAAATTATATGCACAATCTGATCTACGCCGTACGTTCTGCTTCCCTGCGCGTGCTAATCTGATCGATCTCAGCAGTATGCCATGATAGTAAACACTGTTGATAGTATAAATGGTGAAGGTAACATAACCTGTCAAATTGTCGTGTAATCGAAGCAGTTAGTTTCACATGTTATAAAGTCGTGTCGTACTGTTAATAATAAACATCTTCACTCGGATTAGTTTTGAATCCCTTGCTGAATAAATGATATAGCGGTGTATTTGATGAACAATAAGACAGTTTACTTCATTACATTCCAAGATATTAGACAAGGAAAGATATTTTTCTTCACTACAGGTAAGGAATTTGTGCACTTGACACTATACCAGCTATAAATGAGTACAAAAAAAAGAAAGGAAAATTAAACGTCACTAGGTAAGAAATAAACATTACAAGGTCGGTATTTAAAGGATGGGAGATAAGATTGCCCAAAAGTAGTCAGTGGAGACTAGTCTTTAAAGGCTGATCCCAGTAAGCTAAGGTAACCGTAGAGTAAACCTGGTGCAAAATTAGATAATAAATGTACTTCCTGCGAACAACAGACGTATTTCCGATCGTCGCTTCTCTCCCTCGACCTGAAACACGTCTGCTGTTCGCAGGCTAAATTAGTTTCAAGACACTCAGTGAGGTAAGCATACCCCGGCCCTCTATTCACCTGAGTCTTTGATTGACATGAAAGTACCAACCTGAACATTTCCTTTTTTTAATTAAAAGTACACATTACTAGTACTACTACGATAAGTGAGCATAAAAACCCTGTATTTAAGTCTCATCATGACGTCACAAATCCTCTCGTCAATCTTGTGATCAGCGGAACAGATGTGCCAAAGAAATTAAGACTCAATTTTATTAAAAACCTCACTGATTTTATTGGTTAAAAAGTTCTTGTAGGAATGTGCTCTTTCAGTTAACTTCATAAAAATTTTCACGTTATAGGCACTTGAATTATTATTCATTCAAAATATTTCTCCGTTTCTGATTGGCTAAAATCCCAGGCATGATTCATCATAAGGTCTACTTCTCGGAGATTTCTCCGCCACCGTCACTCCTTCCGAGTTGTATGCTCATTTTAAATTTAATATTAATCAACTATTTATTATCTTTTCTATTCTACTTTTAATTTATTCTGTATGGCAAAGTAATAAAATAAAAAAATAAAAATTATAACCAGCTTTGGAAGAATTTTGCGATTTGTAAAAAATGGCGTCAATTGTACAGAATAACCGAGAAGACCTGGGGACGAGGTTGAGTTGTTTTGGTAGTGAGTACAAAATGGCAGAACATTTCACTCGTTTCACGAGGAAGTTATGGGCGAACTATAGGCTGTAGCCTGTAGTTCGCTATACAGTTCGCTATAAAGACATAGCAAGAACAGCAAGAAGACAACTCGACGGACGACATCTGCTATTTGGAAAACATTTGCAGTACTGAACAACCCTTTATCTCCTAAATTTGTCGATAAACAGGCAATTGAAGATGAACTTAGCGTCAATGGAAGTTAGCCATGCAGTTTTAGCTTGTTTTTAAACCCTGGGGAGGGGGAAGGGGTACTTGGGTTAATTTTTGCTGGGTATGTGCGGCTAGCCCCTACCCCATTATCAGTCTATTCTGTGGCCAATTATAGACCCCATCTTAGTCACTTTTGGGCAAATGTGTCATTTTCGCGATCCCTACCAGAGGCACATTCCCATTAGCTTCTTATAAGGAAATACTCCCCGGGGTTTAAACTAGGAATTAATTATTCGGCTTCCGTATCATCTGAAGAATTATGGAGATCGAGGACGGAGGGTGTTATCGGTGATACTAAGCCTCACGAAGAGATATTGTTTAAGGTTAAGAAATTAGATAGATTTGAGCCTAAGAGTGTCCGGACAAGTTTTCTTTATTATATTTCGAATCTTTCTTATTTACATGATATTAGCTATGTACAGAAAAAAAAAGCGGAGAAGTGATTTAACAATTTTTCCGGTCACATCTAACAATTCAAAAATTTGGGGGTTATTTTATTTCAGGTGATGTGAAATAATATAAGGAAAAACTATATATTCTATTCTACACGACTACACGACTATTTTCTAAATCAGTCTAAAGGCACGTTTCAAAGGTTTTCTTGTTAGTGAAAAGATTATTGTGCTTAAAATGCTTATTAAAAAATGGGATTATTGGTGTTATTATAACATTACTACAGTTTTTTACATCCGGGTATTTTTGTAACTGCTGTTTGTCATTTATTCCTACTCAAAGAATGGCGTGCTGACTTCGGCTGGGGGACGTATTTAGGAAACATTTGTCGAGCATCCAGTCTTCAGAAGCTTAAGAGAACGTTGAGGGGTTTTTGCTGAGTAAGACGAATGTAAGAATAAAAAGCAAGAGGATGAACAGAGGGTTGTGTGCCCGAAAGGTTCTGCTTCCACGCTCCCAGCTAGCGTTAGTAGTACTAGTAGTATACGGCGCACCGGTTTGGTATTTTTTTGGGCAGGAATCTCATTAGCTTGCACGGAAATACGCGAACACCGATGACGTCATAGCCTTTTGCCTTAATCCCACCAATTAATGTTTGGGGAATTGACCTCATTCACGATACCCGCCATCTTTTTGAACGCGCTTTAGGATCGATCTATTGGATAAAAGCAATGTCGCTTGGTATTTCAGGGAGCAAACAAGCGATAACATTTTTCAAGACGAATAATCGCGGTCGAGGTCGTTTATTCCATCAAAACGAGACAAGGATTCAAAAGTCATGCGAAAAGTATGCAGTTTGAGTTTGGCCAAGATATAGCAGGTCACTATTGTTTGCTGGGAAGACACCGTCGCTACAGCATCCAAAGAAGTAACAATGGTCACTTCCACCCATAATTTCCTATTATTGTCTTTTCGTGTTGTCTAGAATAAACAATATTGAAGCAAGACCTTCATAGACCTAGAAATAGAGCGCTTTTCAATTGAGTGTCGAAAACCAAAACCAAAGTAATCACAACGCCCAATCAGAGTAAAGGAAATGATCAGAGGGAGCCAATGGCAACTCGAAGTAAACGCATGTAACCGGCCTGTAGCGCGGGAAAACGCGAGTGACCAAGGAGCGATTGGTTTTAGTTTACACCTGATTGGCTGAGAGGGTGGCGCGAGTTTTCTAGACCAATCAAACAGCACAGTAAAGCAAAACCAATTCAATCCTGGATTACTTTCAACACTCAATTGAAAATTGCTCTAACTATAAAACCTGTCAGACCGGTTAAATCGCCTAAAATAGCTCACGACTAAATCTTAATGAGATTCCTCCGCATTTTTAACCATGGGACTATGAGGGACCATGAAGTCATCGGCGTTAATGTATTCCTGCGCAAATTAACGAGATTCCTTCGTAAAAAAGGTTTAGCCGGTGCGCCCTATGCTTCTTGCGTCTGCAGTGCATGTGAACATACAACGCGACGAAACTCTTTACTAGTACCGAAAACAGCGCTTGTTACGCAGGGAACTAAAGAACTAAGTACTTTTTGCGCTTTTTTGCTTACGTATATCTATTTTTATCGTAAGTTATATAACACAAATAATTCAGAAACCGTATAGCACTTCAATCATATCCTTGATGCGGTACCTGTGTATGACTTTTCTTTATAGTCGGAAGAGCGATGTTAATCACTTAAGCAAGCGGTTGAACGAATAAATCATCTTAGCCTAATCCATTCCTAATCCTACCCTGGATCTGATACCCTTCCTTTTCGGTTACGTTACGAACAAAGTACTTAGAAGAGAGTCCGCTGCACAGGAGTATTGACAATGAAACTACAGTCTGTACTATTGTTTGGGTAGTGGCGTATCTCATCAATGCAGGATACCGCTAAACTCAATGAACTGAAGCATAGAGCGTCAGTGAATGGTGATAAAGAAAAAGGTGACAAATTGAAGAGGCTGTGTCACGGCTGCAGTATTTCATACTAACTATTAACCGAGGGTGAGGTCATTACAGGGAAATATCAGACCGAGATTTCCTTGTAATGACCGAACGGACGAGGTTTATAAGTTATTCATGGTGGATACCTGTCAATTGACTATAACAAGGATGTCCATAAGGATGTCCAATATCAAGTTAAACACAGATTGTATTTTCAAAAAGAAAACCGCAATCGCGTTTTTGTCCATCCCTGCGTTCTTTTGTATTTGCTGTGCTTTTTAACCCTTTTGTTAAATGTTTTGAGTGGATATATATATATATACTTTTTTATGTTCCTTTCAATGTTTCTCTTTTGATAATTTTTTTGACACAGCTCCTTTTTCTTTAAATCGATACTGAAAGCGAACTATTTCTTTTGCCCGAGAATTATTATCTGTTTCTCGGTAGCGTTAAAAACTAGCGGCACTGCAGCTTTAAAGTTAGTTTATGATATTGTTTGTCCTGTGAAACCTTGCTTTTCCTCGCAAACTAAATCCAAACACAGTAAAGCCTGGTGAAATGAAGTTAGTGGAGTTGTCTGGCGGGTCAAAGTACACTTTCTCATGGTTGACTCCCAAAACTACTATCTGAATGCATTTAACCTTTCTCCGGTCAATAAGTTCAAAGGTCGTCCCACGGATATGATTAAGGTAAAAGGTGTGATTATCTACTTTAAACAACAGCTTGTTGTTTTCGTGAGTAATGAACACTCGCCTAATGGTCGGCACGTCGTTCGTGTAAAATTCACCCAAATATGGCGCAGCCTCATCCAGTGAAACCGTTGGATGTCGCTAGAAATGAAATGACACACCGTACCATAGGTTAGTTACTGCACGCGGATGCATCAACCCCGGGGAAGTTAGGGCAGAGAACTCCGATTTCAAGGCTCTCTATGGGTATTTCCGACGGAATCGAAGTCGCGACGATCGCTATTGGTGACTGAATTAGAGATTGAAGCGACGATTGCATTGCTATTCCGTTCAAGATTGACAACGTTAGTCGTGCTATGAATGCAAAAAATCTGGCAAAAAGGGTGCTGCAGTTCAGAGTTTTTGTTAACTTTGCTTAATTTTTTTTTCGTTTTCCTTTGTCGTTGTGGTGTCGCTAAAAGCGTTACGACGCCAACTAATCTTGATATGCGACAATTTATTTAAGAACCACAAAAAACTAACGATTTGATGGAAAACGCGCTACCAAAATGATGTCCGAAGGAACCCGTGGAGAGGCTGACACTCTTGACAGAAAACCTTTGTGCTGCGAAGGAAGGAAGATTACCTTGGCTTTCAGGTGTGTTCCGAAAGTTTTCAAGGGTTTTAATGTCTGCGATTAACAAAATACAAAGTTCTGTTTATAGGAACCCAAAAGGAACCAAAAAAGACGCTGTATTTATTGGCTAAGTACCTAAAAACATACCCTATAATTGCGAATCAGTATTTTAAACGACACATTAGTTTCCTGAGTCAGTATCTTAGGTTATGTTAATTCACACTGATACCAGGATACCAGATAGCTTTCTGTGGCGCCACCAAAAGCTATCCGCTGTAGTGTGAACATACCTACGATCCGATATGTGACTCGGCGGCCCCTTAAGAGATCGGCGCGGTGCTGAGCTTTGCTCCGTCACAGAAATCGCGCCGCCACAACCGTTCTTGTGTGTGAACAGAAGTCCTATCCGTAATGGTTTTCGTGGGGCGCAAAAGCTATTCGGTATAGTGTCAACACAGTAGACGCTGAAGGCTCATTACCTCAATATCCCTTGCTGTCAGTTCATCGTGAAATGATTTAACAAGTCTGCTTGCCATGTTTTGACAACAGCTTTTAATACTCCCTGTGTTAAAAACGTTAAACGCTGAAAAATAATAAAAAAAAACCAATCAAGCAAGCACTGTCTAAGACAAAATTGTCTTATGGCAGTATAATAGCTGAGCGCACGGTGTATTTTTTCACTCAGAATCCCTGAAAGAAACTATAACTCGTTCAACAGCTCAGGAGGTTATATTTCATGCAAAAGTGAATCGATAATTACTTCAAACTCAAATCCAGAGAAGCTTATCGCAGTCATACCGTATTTATTCGATTAAACACCGCGACGTTTATCAAATTTTCAGCGTTTCCGTTGATATAAGGGCGGTGTTTCTTTCGAAATCACTTTTTATTTCTTAAATCAATGACAACAGTTACTCTAAATCGTTTTTTAAAATATTATGTACCTTAAAGGTTCCAATATTTCTCTTATTTTGCGGAGATAGAATGGTAACTGTCTGGATGGTGTAGATTACGAAGTTGTACCGAGTTTTTTTCTTGTTGTCCGCCAATAGACGCGCATTCTTTTAATTAGGTTGGGCGTTTATTGATAATTTTGCTTCCATCTACGGCGTTTAATCGAGGGTTGCTCTTATTCGAATAAATACGGTATATGACAACAGATCCCTATTATCTGGCTCAAAAACAGTCATATATTCTTGATAGTTAAAATGTTAGTTCCTTTTGATAGTCTTGCACCCCCTCTTAAGAAAAATCCTGGATCCGCCCTGGAAGCTGCCTTTTGAAGCTCTTATTCCTGTGAAATGCCCGCTAAGAATGTTAATAGCGAGGTCTGCTGTAGTATAAAACTCAAAGTGTGTGAGACAACCTACCAAGTTTAAGATCAGGAAAAAGAAAAATTTTGGATGAGTATCCGTATACGTAGCCGCTTTTTATTCTTGCAAGATAATCATTCAGGAGGTACATTTCCCAAGGAGATCCCATAAACTGCTTATCATCCAAGATGTAAGCTACAAGGAGAAAACGCTTGAAATGAAAACGCTTGAAATGAAGTTGAATTTATGAAAATCATTAAGACTATAAACATTATAAATAATTATTATAATATTTAAAAACCATGAACGCGTTATGGTTAGGCTCATGGTCAGTTGGGGGATCGGAGCGTCGACACAGCGAGATGTTTCGGGCTCAATCCCCAGGGCAGGATCAATACTCAGGGTCTTAGAATGAGAAATAAGTGTTATAATTAATAAATGGAGGTGCTGCCTTTGTCCTGGAAGTAAAATGGCAGTGGAGCTTCCAGTAGAGATTTAAACGCACTGCCCCAGTACTCTCGTGCTAAATACATTGACTTTTAAATAAAGTAGGATTTTACAAAACACGGAAACCCTGCATAAGGCGCACGCGAGAAATCTAAAACCACATGAACAGCTACACGCTCAAGCTTACATACTTCCCGCGCTTGACACAAGTTTCAGAATGATGTTTATTCCGAGATCTGATTGGTCCATTTGGTTTGACGTGAACTACCCAAAAACACTAATAAAAGGAATTATTTTACCTGGTGAGAAAAATTCCTGGGTGATTACTGGGGAGAGGAAATCATCTTCGTCTGTTGAATTGAAAAGTTTTATCTCCAGCTGGATAGGAAAACAGAAAAGATGACTCAGATCATTGAAAATATAACTTTGTTGGTGGCATGGCAATAAGGAAATAGCTTCAGCTGTATCTTGATAAAAATTAATTTTATTACAAAGATTTTTCTGGGGTAACCCTTACAAGCCAGGATCAAAAAATTTTTTAAAACAGCCTGTACTGGAATTCAAATTCTCGCGACCTCTCTATTTATGTACGCCTGCAAAAAACTCCACCTGAACTTCAAACTTAGAATGCAACATATCTATTTTCAAGAGTGGTTACTGATCGTTTTCAATCAGCTTTTATTAGAGACCTTTGGATTCGAGGACACGGCTCCGGAAACAAGGACGACTTGCGGGGGATGAGATTTCACCACGGAACACTGAGTGGCTTCATTTTACATATAGGTTCTTATTGCAGGAGGTTAAGCCGTCTCCTGATCGCAGAATGATAAAACTTCTATCATTTGAAACGGCCTGGTTCTGTCACCATTTGGACATTTTCGCTAAAGCTCGCAGTAGAATGTTGTATTCCCGCCAAAATGACGCTTGCTCTCATGCGCGCACTACTTATTATTGAAAAAATCTCACTCTCGTAGTAGTCCTTGTCTTAGAGCCTAGAGGCCTCTACTTATTGACAGTACCAAATGCATATGTTCATTAGTAACAAAAAACTGGGAACAAACCGGAAGTAACTTTACCTTCGCTATATCCTCTATGGAGGTAAACATACCCCCAGCAGGGCTCGCCCAGCCCCATTCAACCGGCTCCAGGGGAAGCTCCTTGAGATATCCCACGGGAATCTTCTGTCTCATCCTGAAGGCAAACGTGAAGTTAGATGTTTTTGTCTTCATAATTTTCTAGATGTACGGTCTGCAGATGCAGCAAAACGTCTTGCAGAATAGGCTAGGCCTGTTGGAACCTGACTGATTAACCGATTGGCTGATTTAGCCTTCAACTTTTATTTCTTTGACCTCGTTCACACGACTTCACTCTCCTTTAGTTAGTAAAGTGCAAGGGAAAAGCTGGAGCAAACTTGGCTTTCAACAGTGTATCTTATCAAATATTGCAGTTTTAGATTGTTTATTCACGAGTTTTTGACGGAGTTGATCAGTTAAATAAGTGATGTCAGGAAGTCCTAAAACAAACGATAAATCCCCCCATGTACTATCACCCGGTTTCGAGAATCCGGAAAATTTTTGCTTGTGGAATCCAGTGGAATTCTGGGCTAACGATGGGAATCCGGAATCTAGTGAGTTCCACTATAAGGAATCCTAAACTCAGCACCGACAGTATTTGGAATCCGGAAGCCAAAGCTTGGAATCCAGAATCCAAAACTGTCTTGGATAACTTTACGTGGGGCGAAATAAAAAAACAAGTGTTTCCAGGTCAATGGTTACGGTAACTTCGCTTAAGTTTCAAAGATATGAAACTAAAACAGACCAAAAAAACATAGTGCCACTTACTCTGGAGTTAACCTGAATCCTGAATCTTGCATTCCTAGCGGTTCAAAAATGTTTTCCTGTATCCAGTCCTCGTAGGATGAGTTTTGCGACAAAGCGAGGCCTTGACCAAGCAGCCCAAAACCTAAATTACTTTAACATGTGGAGCAAAGTAGTTCAGTACTATAAATACGTATCTCGCAATAACCCTCGCGAAACTCGGTTTGGTAACGGCACTCAAGTTAAGCCTTGTCGGTCGGGGTCGAACTGGATGGGTGACCAACCGCGCATATCGTCTTAAAGGTCCATACGTTGTTCTTTCTTTTCTTTTTCTTCTTTTTTGGTGTTATTGTTAACAGTGTATTGAAAAGCAGATTTAGCATTATTTCGGCGTCCGGATTTAGAAAAAGACAAAAACGAGAAAACAAATATGGCCCGGTCCCTTTGATGGAAAAGCCGTAATACAGAGCTGAAACTTTGCAGACTTTGATCTATATATATCGGCGGTGATGGGTTTACCACAGCGAACGATCATAATGCCTCTGATTCCAATCTCCTGTCATTTCTTCATAAATGGTTGCTACAATTTTAGAACGCGTTCGTTGATGAGCTATCTTAAAGTTACTAAACATGTGCTAACGGAAGTCAGCGCGCAGTTGCCCCTGGAATGTAAAGAACGAGCAGATGAAAATGACACTGCCAAAATTAAAGAGTCTTTCTGTTTCGCATGATCCGTTGTTGCGGACCGGACTTATGGGCACTGAATAGGTCAGTCATGCAGTCATTGGTTATACTACGGGACGTCTCCACTTATGTCCATGTTTGCACGGACGATTCCTAACAAGAATAGAACAACTGTCCATTGGGGCAATTATCCAAGAGGGCTGAGCGCATGTTTAAGGGATGTGGCTGGGATCGAGTGTGTACCTTTGTTTTGAGTGTGTTTCTTTGGGATGATCCTGATCAGGATCAATGATCCGAGATCACCCGGATCGTGGTATATCAAATGAACGGCTCAATCCTTCCCCTGGGTGGAATTTTTGGTTCCTTTAATGTGCTACAATATGATCTGCGTGATCTCAGGTTACTGATCCTGATCCGGATCATCCTAATCAAACACATCCTTTGATGCTTCTCTTATGGGATGTGTTGAATCGTATTATCCTTATCATATTATTGTGGTTCCGTATTATTTTGTCTCGCACTGCACGGTGAGGCAGACCTCTACAGAAATGTTAACATGTTAATACAGTCAAATCCCTATAATACGGAAACTGACAGGGCCATAGAGAATGGGTGTTCGTATAAAGGGCGTTGGATATAGAGAAAATGTAAAGGGTTTCTTTCCACAAGGACAAAGCAAACTGTCTGTATAAATGAGGTGTCCGTTAAGCGGGGTATGATCGACTGTATATAATGTAAAGAGGACACGTATGTTAAACGCTCATCCACGAAATGTCATTTCAATCAATCAGAACAAGACTAATGACGATATCTCGTCTACCTGTAGCTGACTTTATTCCCTGGCTCAAGGATAAGAGAAAGATTCTGTATTCTCTTTAGCATAACGCTGTTGTTCCATTTGCAAACTGCCTGGCCATCTGCCTCAGGAAAACATGGCGCTTCTCGCGGTAATCCTGACATATGAGAAACCATCTCCCTGAAGAAAAGGTTAAACATTTAAGAAAAAAACGAAAAGGAGACATTTTTTATTGTAATTTATTAACTAGAAGCAAGCGGGGATCCACACCTGTTTCCAACGTTCTAAGAAAATGGGGTCAGATTTTTCATAAACAAATATATCTTTAATAAAAAAAAACTTTCCTCCTTATCCTGTCTGAATTACTTAAAGACCTAGGAAAGGGGACGTAACGGATTTAACATCAAAACAATTACCAGGGGTAACATGCCCCTGGATCCCCCTTGTAGGGCGGAACATAAGTATTTACCTTAGGGTAATATCATGTGATTTGAAGGGGTCCTTGATAGAAAAGCTTGGCAAGTACTTCTTAAAAGGATCATCAAGAGTTTTGACTTTCTTTTCATGGTAAAGTTTGTAAAGCATCAGTGCCTGAAGGTGAATGAAAAACAAGAAAGATCGTTGACTCAGAAATGAAGGAATTTAAAATCCCATTTCCTGAAATATCCGCGTAGGTTAGAGAGGGCGAGTAAGGGGTTATCCTTTTCTGCTGTCACCGGTACACAGTGATTTTTCTTCTTTCCAGACGAAAATGTGTTTGGTGGTAAGCGAGAACAGAAGCAAGGCTAAAGAGAAATTTGCCGTTTTTAGTTTGTGAACCGATAATCATAATGAAGATGGGTAAAAAAGTCTGTTAATTACGCTTCAATGACAAACTATAATTTTAAATTATTTAATCCTTTTTTCAAAATCGACTTCATTAAGATGCTGTTCATGTTTTACTCTTTTACCATGAGCGACATAAAAAAGAAGGTTTTTCTTACCGTTAATACTTTTGTAACACTCGCTATGGGAAACGCTGTTCTGCCAGAAAGTGGTGGTGCTTGGGGATTCGATCGGTTCATTTTTCCAAACGAGCGCTGCCAAATTATCTTGTCCATGTATACAACGTTAGCCAAAATGGATACCTATATACAAGAATACCATAATTTAGCGACAGTCTCTGAAAACCGTATTGTTAATGTAATAACAATCTAAACGGCTAAAAACTGGGTTCAGATCACGGGTGCAGAAATTGCAGAAATTGGAGTTAGTTAAAGTGCTACTGAAGTGCAATCGAAAGCGTTTTAGAAATGGTTACTGATTGAAAATCATCTTTCTCGTAGAATTTGTGACTCTGGCGGGCTATTATCTTTTCGTAGTTTTTACAGTAATTACTTTCAGTGGTTAACGGAGAACGATTATATTGTTTTTGTTTTAACCTCATGCATGGTCCTTCCAGCCAGATAATATTATATCTGTTAACCGTACAAATAAAATAAAAGTAGTAAGAGTTTTTTTTTTCTTTATTTTCTCCTTAATTTTCCTCTCACCGTATCGTCATTTATCTTAGTTTCCATTTCTCTGTCCATTTCAGCCAGTGTATTTTTGATCCTCTCTGGAAGGCTGGTCAACGGCACTGCTTTTGCTCGCACGGGACAGTCTGGGACTAGAGGAGCTCCTGTGACTGCTAGCTACAAACAGAAGCGCATAGGTTACGTAAAAGGTCTTACAAAAGCGCTCAAAAATCATGAATAGAGTACACCGATGAAACAAAAGTCGCCCAATGAAATATCGTAACCTACCAACTACATCTTTAAAGTTGTCTTTAAAAAAACGAAAAAAAAAGACGAAGCCAAAGAAGATGGCTGCATTGCCTTCCCCGTCCCAATACCCCCAATGAGTTCATTAGTGGCGGATCCAAAGTTTATAACATGGGCGCTCAGCCGCCGGAAGAACCGCGAGTGAAAACGTTTTAATTAATTTGGGACAATACCGCATTTGCTGGCCAACGCCGGCCATAAGAAAATGCGCGAGGTTAATGTTAATTTTCCACGCGGCAAAACTTCTTATTGAAGCAATTATTAGGCCAATCAAAATTCACTTATTCATTTTGTCACCTTTGCAAGGTTTGTTTTGCACTATATTCAATAGTTCGCTGCGGAACTCAAAACAAATCTACTTACTACTAATCATCGATTTACAAGGGCACCGCCGGCGACAAAAATTTCTTCAAAAAAGGTTATTTACACTATACTAACACACTGTAAAGCTTTATGAGTTATGGATGTTTCGAGAAGCCTCCTGAGGGCAGAGATCAATAACTTTTACATGTAAAGACAATTTTTCTGTAATTTTCACAAAACGAATGTTTCAAATAAAGGTAACAATTTCAATTTCAATTCATAGACTAAAGTTTAGTCTACTGCAACCAGCCAACAATAAATTTATCAGCACCTTTTTGTATTATTTTGGCTTTAGCCAACTGATGAAGACTAATAGCCGTTACGTTTATTTTAGTTGACTCTTGCAATTTTTCATGATTTCTAAATTTGATCGAGAACAGAATCTAGGGTTTAACATCTGTGTATTAAAGTTCTGTGAAAAGGTGTCGGTCTCTGAAACGTTTTGGTTCCACCTGCTTCGCGAGCAATTTATTACATTTTATTGGGTTCCAGCAGCGCCTTACAAAAGAAATATAGACTTTAATTTCGAAGGCCATTGTCAAATGTCCCTCTATTTTCCGGGCAATATTGTAATAATGGGCAATATCATAAGTTATGTTTGTATATCACCCGCTTAGAGAATACGTTTAACGTCAATTGAATTCAATCATTTTGACAGCGTTGATTTCAGAACAAACAAGAATTAAATGTATAATGAGGTTTTGAAAAATAACGAAATTGTACATGACCTTACATATGATCATCTCAAAAAAAAAGTTTGTGTGAAATACATCTAAATCATTAAAATTTGTCAAAATTGGAGAATGACGTTATTTACTTTTTGCTTTTGAAATGAGTTTTCTATTAAGTTGGCTGAGTCCATTAACTCTAATTTAAAATCGTCGCTTCCGTCTTCACCAGCGAATTTGCTTTTCAAAAAGAGGATCCGCGCCTTCTAAGTGTAAATAATGATCCCTATTTTTTCATTTAGTTTGCCACTCTACTTCACTTCAAAATTATTTTACCGGACATGTTATAATTTTTTAAATGCATGCGCACCAAGAAAAAGCACTTTTTATTTTAGCCAAGCATTATTCTCGATTCATTTTTGCCCTGAGAAAAAGGTTTCTATCTTTAATAACGGGCGATTAGTTTTTAAATTAGATTTAATTGCAAAACACACGCTACGATTCTCTTTAAACGCATTAAAACTATTGGTACGCAAATACGCGGACGACTTCAAGGCGAACAAAACATCTTTCCATTCAAAGCTCCATCTATGTTACTGTCATGTGGCAAGATAAAATCCCTTTCAGTTGAAAGTGGAGTTTCTGCATCTGCGCTCTCTGCGTCCTAATGCGTAAATAACATGTTTTTATAATACAGTTATAGTAAAATACATTTTATTTTTTGCTTAGATATGCTTATAGAAATTCTTAAAATGGAAAGATTTATGGAGAAACGGCAACCAAGACAGTACTGAAAAATTTCAAACCGAAGGGCGTGTCATCAGATAGAGAGTCACACTCAGTTTCTTTAATACTGGAAATGATTACGATTCTTTTAATCCTCTCCAGCATTCTATCGATCCTATGCCCACCTGTCGTCGCCGTTTAAATTACGAAAAAATAACTTGAACAGCAGAATCCACCCACTCAACATGTTTCAATTTTTGGTAAATTACCAGTGATACGTGGACAGTTGTAATAATAATGCTTGCAAATCAAAAGAACAGCGTGGATTTCACAGATCAGCGAAAAATATGGATCGAAAGAATATTTTATGACGCATAAAATCTTGTAGTACACGTTGTACTGGTGTGCAAAGTACATATGATTGTATTAAGGGATGAGCAGGTTGCATACAATAAACCTCACTAGGTTTGTTTGCTTGAAAATTATATTTTCTTCAAGATAAGACAATGGTTCACCTACTCGTTGAAAAGAGATGATGCATATCAGATTTTGAGTCCATTAGGAAAAGGACTTTGATGCTTAAATATATGCGCTTTTTTGGAACAAGCTAAGCAGCTTACCTGTGAGATACTGATAGATGGATTTACAGTGCTACCTTCACTATTCTTGGAACCGTGAAAAAGAGCTCTCCAGATAAACAGACCAGTCATTACAAGAGACAGTATTATAAATAGCAATAAAAACACCGCCAGAGTTAGGATTCGTCTTGAGTACCATGGAACCATATTGCTTTTGAGGCGCGGATTGTCCTGAAGGAAGCTTTTCGCACCGGCAGCCTTGCGCAACTCCGGTGGGCACGCCTCACTGCTTGAAAATTTGACCTTGTAAACAGCGAAGGGCATGTCTGAGTTCTGCGACTCCTCTCCTGAGGACTGGGGCGAATGTAGCTTTACTCTCCCCAGGCTTTCGAGGTTGATACGGGTGTTCATCATTTAGGATCTGGGAACAACATTGATTACTCCAATAAGAAGGGTGTTTCTTATTGTTGGGGAAACCATTGTTAGCTCGCTTTTGTGTTGAGGTGTGAGTTATCGTTCTGTGTCTTTTTTAAAATTGCTTGAATTAAGTCATTTGGTAATGAGGTCGGTAATCACTCCTGTCCACAGTAGCCCAAGACATCAGTTAATGGAAACCCTATATATGCCTATAGTACCTGTTCTAGAGAGTTAATTTTATCCAACCAACCAACTTTTGCTGTTTCACTTAATACTTTTCATGCAATATTCAAATTCTTTCTAGTTATTCCTAGCTATAGCTGGCTAGCTGGCTTTTCTCCAAAGCCAGGGAGAGAATGAATCAATGTCTTTGGCAAGAACAAAGTAAACATGCTATTCGTATGGAGAATGCTTTGACAGACGGTTTATCAAAAAAATAATCTTATATAACTTAAAAGTCATCGGCTTATTAGTGAGTAAATTGAGAAGATAATGGTTTTACGTACTAACACAAAACCTCGGATTTATCTCCCTTAAGTTTTTTAGATTTTCACCCATAAGTTAGTTTGACCGTTGAAGTTTTTCGAAGCATAGTCGGACGACACACCCAAATACAGGTCCCATTCTCGTACCGAACATCTAGTGAACAGTTGTAAGGGTTCTCTTTCGCCGACTTGCAGTTAATAAGCAACATATTAATAATGAATCATTGTTTATACCACAAATTACATGTTGCGGCTTCTTAGGAAACATGTTCAACAACAAAAAATGAGAATAAATACTGTGCTTTCATTCGTTTATCTGCTACCATCACTGGTGTTAATAATCAAGCAGATAAAAACTTAAAGGAAAAAATGAACGCTCAAACAAATTGATGCCAAACGATCAAATGGTAAGGGAGTTAACCTAAGTGAACGAGTCGACTAAAGAAAACGAAAAAATATTACTGATTAAGAAAAACTAACAAACAACTGGACAAGGAGGGAACAAAAAGAGAAAACCGACGATGAACAACAGATAGCACAGAGAAAAGCAAAAACTGCAAAAACTACCAACCTGCATCCAGGGAACTGATGATCATGATACGTGACAAGCAAATTATCATTAATAGATTCCACCGACCGAGCATAATTGGTTCTCTCCCACATAGACTCCGCATGATTTCGCCTATTTTTGGTGTAAACAAACCACCACCCAAGTAGTATGGTTTTTGACTACTTATGGTCAAAATCTGGATAGTTTTCAATCGCTTAGGTCAGAAATACTGTATGTTTTTTTTCTCTTTCTCTGGTACAGGGTCTGGAGTTGAGTAAGTCTTTTTTCATTTCTCTTTTTGAGAACAGTGGTCCAGGTTAGAAATAGGGTAGAAAAAATCGCATATTTTTGTTGTGTGGAATAGAGTGAGCGTACCCACACCCTTACCCCTGGAGTACATCCTCCTCCACGCCTCCCCTGAGATACAAAAGAAAGAAAAGTGTAAACATGAAAACATTTAATGCTTTACGGGAGGGGGGGTAATGTCATAGCAGTGCACAGAAATTGCCCTAGGCCTCTAAAGAATGCTAAATGGGGTCACTTCTTATGAATATTAGTATTAATTTACAAGTATCCCGACAACGTACTGAACCGTACTGAACAATCACGAAGAAAACAATGGGGACGACCAAGTGCAAGTTTTTCCGACATATTTGCAGCGGTCCTGCATATTATGAAAATGTCTGAAATGCGTAAAATTTCATTGTTAGCGGGTGCTCTTAACACGCTAAATCTTTAAACATAATTAAATGTTATAAGTTGATTATGTTAAAACAAACAAACACATAAACAAAGGAAAAATAAAACATGCAGATTAAGTTTTATCCTTGTATCTCTCCTTGGTCAAGAGGTTCTCATTTGTTGTTTTCTTGCCAAAAATTTTTTGTAAGAATGCAAGATGTTTTTCGAATTAGCCCCTATACAGGTCACTATTCTTTCCATTTTGAATTGAAAACACATATGGCAAGGTTAATCAAATCAATGCAGCGCTGAGGGCAAGTTATTTATAAATATTATTAGTTATTTTTTAGTAAGTCCTCGCCGATTTCTCACCTGACCACTCCCTTGTCTTGTCTTTGATTCTTATGATTTTGCTTCTTCAGTGTATTCAGTCTCAAATATAGAGGAGATTTTGTCGTATCTGCTCTTGGGATACCGTACTCTACGGGGGGGGTAGGGTACTCCCCCATATGGCCTATACGGGAATGCGCCGCTGCCGCTGGACAGGGTATGTTTTTTACCTCGCTGTCCTAAAGAGGGTATATAATTTCGTGTGAGTCTGTCAAAAGGGTATTGCCTGCATGATTGATTTTAATTGTTTGATGAACTTCGTTTGTACTCCAAGTAAACAAAAGCAATGGCTATAACATGAATTTGTTTCCGTAGGGTGGTGTCCTTAACCGGGCATGTATTTTAGTACATTTTTTTTGGTCCTAAACAGGGTTGTGTTTCAAATCGTCAGCGGCTCACCTATACCCAAATATCGGTAGAGTACCCCCTCCCCCGGGTATTCCACTGATTCTAGAAAGTTCCAGCGTTTTATGCCGGGCTCGAACTATTGATAACAATTAGTGACATGACAAAGGTCAATCTCCAGCTGCGCAACACGCATACCTTGCTGTCATGTTGCCAGGACTGAGAATAAAACATCTTGTTCATAAGAATTATTTTTTATTCCGATTAAACGTTATAGTGGCCTTGTGATCATAGTCTTTAAATGTCTTGTGATTTTTTTTTTCAGTACGTAAGTATTTTTATTGCCTTAGAAAAACAAGTTATTTCCAACCGATGATCGTGATATTAATGCAGTCATAACTGATGCCATTTATATAGACTAGGCATGAAGATTTTAACTTTTAACGTATTCGCGGTCATGGCTTTGTTAGTTGTAAGAACTGAAAGCTCCATAAACCCGTTGTTGATCAGCCAAACACAAGGCCCACCAAATCTCTCTCCTTGTTACAAAGACAATTAAATTTGTGGTGACATTGGTTCTAAAATGCGCGAAGACTAAGAGAGGGAAAACGATGCCGGGAGCGCAATGACCGACGGCAGAGAGAAGAGAGGCGTCGGCACATTTCGATCTTCAGTTCATTCTCTGCGTGCTTTCAGGTTTAAAAATGTTGCCAAGATGGAGGGTCTGCAAACAGAACAACCACCACAGCTTCAAATATGTTGAGTAAAGCTACATGTACAGTGGCTGGCGAAAGGATAAGTTAAGGGTCAGTTTTCGGGAAAAATAGCCGACGGAGCAGAGTCGCCCTCCGCGAGCTCCAGAGAACACTCACGAAACCACGTCGACAACGGCATCCGAAAACGTTCCTGATAACAGACAATGAGCCGGAGTTCTTGATTTGTTAAAAACACTCCGAGTGACTTAGCAAAAGCAAGAACGTTTTTCTCCCGATGGTGCATCATCATCAAACGTTTCAGCTCGTTTCAATGGCAAACTCTCACAGCAAAGTAATAATGAATACTTTTATACCTCTAATGAGTAGGTAGGAGTGCGGGCAGATTATTAGATCACAAGCACCGTTAGTTAATGTAGATTAGTAGCCAGTATAGAGAAAAGTAAAACAATTATTCTCGTTATTTCTAATTTTTATTAAAGAACACGAAATTGATCGTTCCATTATGCCCACCAATAAGATTGCGAACTTCTTTCCTAGTCGGAATTGTTGTTCCATTGCAGATAGTAAACAAAGCAACGACAAGAGCTAGCATTTGCTTTTAATTGTGTGAAGTGCGCATAAAAATTGTAAATAAATATAATGCAAGTTCTAATGCATGAATGTCTTCTTTTATCATATTCAAAATCTTTGCTCCTTGCAGCTGAATTCAAAAATTACCGACGGGGATTGTGTCACCGTTCGAGCTCAGTTTGAGGTTCTGTTTCTTGCACAATGTTTGCTCCTAGACGGTTGCCTGTATGAAAATAAGTATATACGAAAAATCAGTACGAAAAAAAAATACCTCTTTTGTCCACTGCACCTTAACTTGAAAGTGACATTTCCACACTTTTTATAACTGTTTCTTTAGTATTCAATTGTCGGTTTATCTCAGCGCACTTAGCTTGTGTAAACGAACTGAAGCAAGTGAAACAATTATTGGTTCGCTTTCGTTGCGGTGTGGGTATTATTATTCAGTGTCTTTTGCATCAATCAAATTATGCACTGAAGCACACGTACCAACTCTGCGGTATGACCAGTACGTTAAGCATGCGCACAACCATATCACCCCGGCAGTGGAAGCCATGGACAGCTGTTTCGCCCTCATTAGCTATAGGGCTCGTCAGCATGGCATAGCCGTCGGGTCAATGAGCTGACCCTACCGCGGAGTTGGTACGTCGTGCTTCAGTGCATAACTTGGTTGTTTCTGTTTTATCACCCGCCCGCAACACCAAGAAAGTACCCCAATTTTAGATTCATTTAAAACTGTCACCATATGCATGACAAAGCCGAACAAGGATTGGAACTGAGTTGGCTAGTATGCGGCCTTCTGTGCGAGAGGTCTGGTATTCTTCAAATCGTTTTTTTAATGCGGATATGTTAAATCTTTATACATACAAAGTAGCCTTAAATACAGCTTAAGATTATACCTGTACTGTAAAACGGGCTTATACCTCATGCGACCATCTATAATTTCTTTCAACCTTAGCGCTTGAAAAAGAAATAAGCTGAAAAAAATTCAGGCTGACCCGGAATCTTTGCCTGTCGAAGTCTAGGATGGAAACCTGAAAAAGTGGGCCAGCTTTTTCAAATTAAAAATGAATCTTTGTGATGGCAAAAAATAATCAAAACCGATCATACTTTGATTTTCGTGTAATAGAATCATTTGTAGTCTTTTATATCTGCTTGTTAGAGTTTCAAGTATAAGAAAAGATGACCGAGAAAAAGCCGAGAATACATACTAATTGAAATTTGTTGTGCTAAAAAGGTTTTAAGATCAAAACTGAATGTAGA